TATGATAGTTGTCTTAGTTTGTTCATATCTGTTCAGGCTACTATGTCAAAACACTATAGATTGGTTAGTTTATAAGAAACAGAAATTTACTTCTTACCGTTCCAGATCTTGGATTTCTAAGATTGGAGTCCCAACATGGTTAGGTGAGAGCCCTTTTATGCATTACAGACATCTCAGTTGTATCCTTACACAGCTTAAGATGGTAAGGGGAGCTCTTATGATGGTATTAATCTCATTAAAAGGCTCCCCCTTCCTGTCCACTCACCTCCCAAAGACCCACCTCCTAATACTGTAACTTTGGGCATTAGAATTTCAACATATAAATTTAGGTGTCCACAAACATTCAGCTCATAGCAGTAGCATAGACAATTATATTTAAGATTTTATTAATTTTGTGTCTACTAAACTTCTGTGGCCCAACCATGAAGCAGTCATACATCTGTATGGATTTACCATTCTTGTTTTCATGCTTACACCTATCCACTCACCTACCATCACTATGGTAAATACACCAACATCAGTATTACTAACAATCTGTGCAGCCAAACATCAATATAGAATATGATGAAATTGGACATTATATAATTACAAATAACATAAACTCAAACTTATTTAATGAGTGCTCTGCTAGAATCTCACACATATCTCTGAATCTATCTCCTCTTTACTCTTTACTATTTACTTAGCTTTCCATCTTTGAAAAACACAAAATTTTGAGGCAATGCCCATTCATCTCCCCAGAATAAAATTTGCAAATTTCCCTATTTCTGCTTTTAGCTTCTATTTCTTCCCTTCCATTGAACACATTTTTTGTTCCCTGTAAAACACCCAGTAATTTTATTTTTTCAATTTCTTCTTTTCTCTTGTAGTTTATTAAAATTTCCCTATTTTATTTTTCTTATCAATATATAAATCTATTGTTTCCTAGATTAAATAATTTTAGGCTCCTTTGATTTCATATTGTTCACCAACAAATTTTCTCTACAACTTTTCCAGAAAACTGCTTGCATGCCTAACCTTCACTTTCTGACATCACTAAAAACTGACTTTCATTCACCCATATCCACTGACCACTTCTAAGATTTTGCCTCAGCTGAGATTACTAATAACTTTCATTTCTTAAAAGCTACTGTATACTTTTATGTATTTATTTAATAACATAAAGGCATTAAGACAGGTAACACTATGCTTTGAAAATTGCCTTTCTTTCAAGGTATAGCTCAAAAAATAATTTTAATTTCCCACCTAAATCTCTGCCTTCTCCTTCACATTCAGTTCTGAAAATTTCTAGATATTAAATAGACCTTAAAATATGATCATTTCTTTAGAATTAATGTTGGCTCCACATTCTCTTTCTATAGATGTTGTCATTCTCATAACATTAAATTGTATTGGCTTACTGAGGAATATGAGATTATTTTCAATTTCTCTTCTGAGGATATACACCTTAATACTTGAACTCAACATGTTCAGATCTGAACACTTGACTTTATACTAATCCAAACTGTAATATAGAATCTGTCAGTGTCTCAAGTAAAAAATATTCAAATTATTATTGAGCACATTATCAATTTCAAGGGAGTAGCATACTGTTACTGTGTGTCCCAGTTACCAATCCCAGGGAAGTACTCTAGATATTCATTGTACTACATCTTGGTATAGGCATTGTAAGAAAAGCACAACACAAGAAAGCATTGGATGGAATAGCACTTCACTCACAATGAGAAGAGACAGAGCAAGGTCAGGTTCGGTAGTGGGAATGCATCCCCCATGGCCACTGGATCTCTTCCAGATGACCATGGCATACATTTGCACACACGCACCCCTTCTTTGTGACAGTAGTGAGGATCCTGTCCCCTCCCTTAGACAGTAGGAGTCAGACAGATGGGGTCGGACAGATGTCAATTGATTCAAATGGTTTAGGCAAAGGCAGTCTAAGAGCACTCATTGAGCCGGAACCAAAAACAAATTTTGCCACACAAGGTGATAAGACTGACACAAATTTTGTGGACTCTTTCTCTCTTGTTAAAGCAGTCTTCCAAGCCTAGCACTTATTATGCTGATGTATGACAGCTGAAATATTGCATGCAGGAGACTGCCTTTCCTAATGGCTATCCTTTTCTTCCCCTAACTTTAAAAAGATATATAATCAGGATTCCGTTCACTTTTTCCCACATCCATGGCCACAACCTTAGACCAATCTACTATGATTTCTGTGTAGATGGCCATGAAATCACTCTAATGGTATCCTCATTTCTTCTTTTCCTTTATCTGAAATTGACTCTACACAACACTCAGACTGTAATTACATACTCACTCTCTCTCTCTCTCACACACACACACACACACACACAATCAGGTTATATGAACCCCCTATGGAAAACAATTTAATTTCTCTTACAACAAATGTATTATACAGGCTCTGGGCTCTTATGTCTCACAAAATCTGATCCAGCATGCTTTCTCTTTTACTCACTGTTGCCTAGTCACTCTAGTTTCCATTTTGATTTTGTGTGATACTTCCTTATCTTAATGTCTTTGAATTACTGCTCATGTGCCTGCAATTCTTTCGTGTAGATGTAGACATGGCTGAATTCTTATAGAGTTGCACTTTAAATTTTTACTTATCAGAAAGTTCCTCTACTGCAAGTTCTCCATAACTGGTACCCATCATTATCCACTTTTTACAATATTTGCAATTTTGATAATTTGAACTTAAACTTTAAAATGTTTACTTGTTATTCTTCCTCCACTTCATATTTAACTCTTCAAGAGAGGACATGATTGTTTCATAATCACTTTTTTTCTAACATAGTTCCTTTTGCTTAGCAGCTATCCCAAAAATACCTTTTTTATTAACTGATTTATGACAGAAATATGACCTGGAAAGTTAAACTATTAGACAATTCAGGACTAAAATAACCAGGCAAATAAAAAAACAATACTCCCAAATTATAAAATAACCCAGAGAAATGTTTGGATAATCTATCATTCTTAGATAAATATATATCTTTGTGCTATAAACATTCATAAAATTGTTTTTAAACTTAAATGAAGATGAGATTTTCTTTGTAAATTTTCATGTTAATGTTGTTATGTCACCTGCTAAATATACCCATTTTTAGATTCAGTTAACATATTTTGTTTAAAATAGTAACAAAATGCTACTTATAAGACAATATTTATTTGAATTAATTTATGCAATATTTTGATAATTTAGAATTTAATTTGGAAATTGTGGAATGTGCTAATGAATAGTTTTTGAAGGTGCTTAGGAAATACAGAAGAGTAGAAAATTGATTATGCAATGTTTTGTGTGTGAAAGAGGCATTAATATATAGAACACAAAATACAAGGAAACATTGCTGGAAAACTGGAAAATTTTCTTTGAAGAGTTGTCCTTTAGTTTTGCATGAAATTATGGAATCAAAACTAGCTCCAGTACCTCATTGTGTGACTATTTCATGAAGTCTTGAGTCAAATTGTTTCTTACATATACATAGCAACTCAAAAGTTATCCATAACAACAAAAAACAGACAACAAAAGAATTAATAAAAGAAAAAAAATACACTGTTAGAATCTTTTTAAAAAAATATTTTATTTTATATATTCTTACATCATTTTTCATTTTTGCATAATGTATGCATTTTCATTTTGCTTATATTCCGCATACAATTCCCATCCCCCTTATTCTGACCCCAATCCCTCTTCTCCTTCCTCCGCCCCACACTGTAGTGAGTCTCTGGTCTATAGTTGCTTGTTGATTTTGATTTTTACTTTATTGCAATTACTTTTTTTCCTGATCCCTTATTTACGTTTTCTAAATTCCTGCTATAAGTGAGACCATCCGGTATTTTTCTTTTTCTTTCTGGCTTATTTCGCTGAGCATGATCCCTTCTAGCTCCGTCCATGTTGCTGCAAATTGCACAAATTTATCTTTTTTGATTGCTGAGTAATATTCCATTGTGTCTATATACCACATCTTCTTGATCCAGTCATCTACTTTTGGGCATACTTCTCCAAAGAGGAAATGCAAATGGCCAACAGGCATATGAAAAAATGTTCAACATCACTTGTAATCAGGGAAATGCAAATCAAAACTACCATGAGATACCATCTTACACCAGTGAGAATGGCACATATTAAAAAAAAAGCAACAGCAAGAGGGAAGGCCCCAGGTGGCAACAGGATTTGCCAGAAAGAAGGGCAGCTCACCCAGGAGGGCTGCAGACAGGGAGAGGAGGAGAGGGTGGGCAGGGCGCAGACCAGCGAGGGCAGGGAAGGCTTTAAGAAGGGGTTTTTGTGAAGTTCCAAGCACAGCAACACCACAGGAAGGCTTGAGGCAGCAGAATGAGTGATCTGATTCATACTTTCACTCTTCAACTGGTTGTGGGATGGTGGATGTTCAAGGAAGGCAGGAGTAACCCGTGAGGGAGCATCAGTCATGACCCAGTGACTTGCAGCCATCCCAGGCTACAGGGCACATTGTCAGTTCTCAAAGATGAAAGAGAATGTTGGAGACTTCTGTGGAGTTTTGCAGTCCCTTGAGGCTGAGATGGGGGTCGTGTACACAGGCGTGCTACAGAGCAGAGGCTCCCACTCCGAGAGACACAGAACAGCAGCTCCCCTCTGGCCAGAGTAGCTGGGGTGGGTGGACATCTATGGCTATGAGGTGGCCATGTAAGGCCTCCCTGGTGGCCTAGGTGTTAAGGCTCAGCACTCTCAATTCTGTGGACTGAGTTCAATCCCTGGCCAGGGATCGACCCACATGGCACAGCAGACCTCTCCTCTCTCACCCGCTGCTCCGCTCAACTGTGGATTTCAGTAGATCCGCCTATTCTGCTCCCCACTCTGTCTCTGGAGAATCCCCTCACTCCTGCAACCCTAACAGGCACCCTGGCTCTGTAGAGAATGTTGGAAGCCATGGGATGGATTAGTTCAGTTAAGGACAGCAAAGCAAAGGAGGAGACATGCAAGCACATTTGAGAGAAAAACTTGAATGGGCATTGGAACCAAAACGGAAGTGGCCATAACTTGCTCTCTGCGGCAGCTCAGCAGCAGCAGCAGCAGCAGTTGGCAGGAGGGTCATGTACACAGGCGGGCTACAGAGCAGAGGCTCCCACTCCGAGAGAGTGAGCAGCACAACCTCTCAAAGCCACTGATGGGCCAGGCTTCCCAGGTGCAGATGGCCCAGTGGGAAGCCTGCCCTGTGAGTCCTCCTGCCCTGAACCAAATCAAACCCTCCACTCTCCTTACCTGGGAAAAGAGGCGCTGGAGCAGTATCTGTCCCCACAGCCCTGAGCCAATGCTTCTGAGCTTCGGGGCTCTGACTGTGCTCCAGGCTGCTCAGGTGAGACTGGGTCCTCAGCTGATACTGTGAGTGAGCAGAGCAGGGTTGGAGGGTGAAAGGAACCTGCAGCCTGAGTAGCAACAGAACCCCCATTGTTCACCTGGACCCACCATTTCCAGATGCCAGGTAATTCCTGGTAGGGCTCAGAGTCACAGCCTTTGCCAACCAACCCGCCCCCCCAGCCCCCAGCTCGAGCAAGAAGCAGATATTTCTAAGCCAGAAATCTCGGTGGGAGCTGACCACCCCCATCTGAGTCGGGTCAGAGGGTGTCCCCACAGCATGGGGCGACCGTGGCAGGCAGCACGGCGTGACGGACACACACCCCGTGTCGTGCTGCTGGCGACACTCTTGACAGTGAGGGAGGGGGCTGTGCCCTGGCACTAGCAGGCAAGACAGAAGAGCAGCAGACACGGGGAAGAGGGAACCCACTGGCCGAGCTTTACTGCATCCTCCCGCCTGCCAGAGCCGCCCCCGCCTCGGGCCTGCGAGGTGGCCGATGGGCACGCTCAGCTCTCGGGCAAAAATGGAGGGAAACCATGTCCCAGAGTTTTCAGTGTGAGGATGGGAAGACGGACTGTGTCGAGTCTCATGCTCACGATGTTGTGCTGTTTATGATGTCAGTTGACGGCGTCCTGTCATTTTGAGACGCATCAGAGATTGAGGCAGTGACAGTCTATGGGGAGACCTTGAAAAGCCAAAACCTGGGACGGGGTTTCTCACTACAAGTGAAACGGCCTCTCCGGCATTCTACGGGCTGTCGTCAACTGGGTACACTTCAATCTCTAGTAAGTCCTATGAACACACCTCTTGGCAGTAGCTTTCTCGTTAAGGCTGAAAAGCCACTGGGTTCCCTCTGCCGATGGCTGTGGCCTCTGGCTCTGACGCCACAGAGAGCCGCTGTCATGTCACCGGCAGAGCCTCCATAGGCCCTGCCCGGCCTGCGGCTGTGTCCTGAGGAGCCAGAAGCTTTGGGACAGTGACCTGTGGACTGGACAGAGAGAGCGAGAGCATGTTTTGGTGCATTTGGTTTTCTTTTGGTTTATTTATTGGTTTACTTATTTAGTTATTTGTTTCAGCTATTTATTTCAGTTATTTTATTTTTATTTCTTGTTTTTTCTTATTTTCCTTTTTTTATTTGCTTATAGTTTTTCTACTTTTTCTTTTTCCTTTTATTTCTTTGTTTTTTTTTTTCCTTTATTTTATTATTGGCTTATTTTTTTGTTTTTCCTTTTTTTCTTTAGTCCTTTAATTTTTTTTATTTCAGTTTTTAGTTTTTTTAATTTTTATTGTTTGTGTGATCGCCCCCATTTTCCTTTCTGTTGTTATTTCGTTGTTTGTTCTTTCTTCCCCTTTGTTGTTTGTTTGTTTGTTTGTTTTTAGTTTTTAGTTTCTAATTGTTGTTTGTTCTGTTGTTTGTTCTGTTTGTCTTTGTTGTTGTTCGGTTTTATTCTTAAATTTAGTGGTTAGTTTGTAATTGGTTTGTTTTTAAAATATTTTTACATTTTTATCTCAGTTGTAATTTTGTGTATTTTCATTTATTTTTAGTGTAGTTAATATTAGTACTGCTAGTAAGGTTAGTGAAGTTAGTATTGCTGGTAGAGTTATTAACACTGTTAGTATTTAGTGAGGTTAGTATTTTTTGAATACTATTAGTACTATTAATACTAGATTAATTGTACATTTGTTATTATCATAGGCGAGTCAGTTGTCAGCCGAGGTAGCGCAAGGGCTGTGCGCCCAGTCAGGGCTGGTGAGTGTAGTCAGCACCGTCCTAGTCCAAGCTCGCTGTGCTTAAGCACCACACTCCCCAGGGACGTAAAGCAAAAACCTTCCCAGTGCTGCAGGAGCTGGGGGAGGGCGCCCAGGCCAAGGTGACCCTGGCGCTGCCCGCCCTCAGGGCACCACGGTGGCCATCAAGGGCGTCCGGAAGTCCAACCTGCCCGACCTCCGGCTCCTGGCCCTCGAGATGGGGTGCATGGAGGCCCTTCACCACCCGAACATCGTGGAGCTATTCCAGGTGGTGGACACCCGGGAGGAGCTGCAGCTCGTGATGGAGTACGTGGAGGGGGAAGACCTGCAGGACTACCTGAGCGAGCGTGGGCGCCTGGTGGAGGGCGAGGCCCGCCAGCTGTTTCAGCAGATCCTCTCGGCCCTCAGCTACTGCCACGCCAAAGGCATCGCCCACCGGGATGTGAAGCCGGGGAACATGCTGCTGACCCGAGAGGGAAAAGTAAAGCTGGTGGACTTTGGGCTCAGCGTCCAGGGCTTCAGCAAGGCTTTGAGCTCATGCTGCTGCCGCCCAGAGTACCTGAGGTCTACCTTCGCCAGCGGTACAACGGCCCCAGGGTGGACGTGTGGAGCCTGGGCGTCATGCTCTACCAGATGGTCACCGGCACACTGCCCTTCATTCACGGGGACCAGCCCCGGCAGATCAGGGACCATGTCCTGGGCGGGTACATCCACCTGCCCTCCTACCTCTCGCTCGAGTCCTGGGACCTGCTAACCAAAGTGCTGGCACTAGACCCCTGGAGACGCAGCACCCTGGAGAGCATCAAGCAGCACCCCTGGGTGGAAGGAGGACCCTGCCCTTCAGCGAGCCGTCCCTCGGCCACCAGGACCCGGCCATAATCAAAGCGACGGAGCGCCTGGGCCACCAAAGGCAGGACATTCGAGAGGCCATTGAGGCGAAGAAGTACAATGAGGTCATGGGCACGTACCTGAGCCTCCGCTCCAGGAAGCATGAGCGGGAAGAGGACCCCGAGGAGGAGCCTCTGAGGCTCGTCACCTTCAGTGAATCCTTCCCCCACAACATAAATAAAATAAATACATAAAATTAAATTTATTTATATTTTGTTGTCATTATAGAAATTAGTGAAAGAATCTTTTGAAAGATTGATGTTAGAAAATGAAAGATCCCTATTTTTATACTTTTTAGCTATTCTATTGTAACATTGGAAATTTTTTATTTATTTTCTTTGAGTCTAAACTTCTCATTTGTAAAATGATAACTTATCTAAAACAAAAGGACCCATTCATGCTCCTGAAGCTAATTATAATCTTTAAGATGCCACATCTTTATCACCTGGAATTTCAAAAATTATTTTTATTTGTGGTAAAAATAAGGACAAAAATAAATGACATTGTCAGGTATTCAAGGGGATGAGGTTTAAAAAATTACATTAGAAATGTAGGTATGTATGCAATATATCTCCTCAAAAGTTCCAAGGAGTTTGTTCTCTCACTCAAAAGCAAAGGAAAATAATGAAAAAAAATCCTTTTTCATGAAAATTGCATAATTGTCTTCCTTATGTTTGCACAATTCTGTGATTAAATAAAAAAGTGTGACATAATTTGAGTTACACTCATTAAACTATTGCCTCTGACATAATTGAGGTTTCCAAAGAGACTGGTTATAAGTGACAAAGTTCCCTTATCTCAGGAAGACGACTTTGAAGGCAAACAATGCTTCTGAATGATAAAAAATTCTCATTGAAAAATCCCTGATCCCAACATTTACTGTTAACCCACTACCCAAAGAACAGTAAGTATCATGTGTGCTTTGTCTTTGGTTGCTGGGGAAAAAAAGAAATAAAATGCATACTCTTTTACAAATAGATTAAAATCTGGCATGGATAACCAAAATGTTTAGCCATTAAGTTAAATAAATAAGCTGCTATATAAAAGCTGTAATGTTTTGTTCAGCAATTTTAGATGAACTTGTCTTCTTATATAATATAAATGTAAAATATTCCTAGAATTTTTTTTTTGAGAGGTTATAAGAACAGAGAATGGGAGACACTCCAGAAGAACATAGAGAATGGGAGACACTCCAGGGTTCAATCAAAATAGAAAATCAGAACTAAGAAAACCTGTATACAGCTTAGTTTGCCAAAGAAGCTAATTTCAGCAATGTATCAAGTATGAGTAAAACAAACAAACAAACAAAAAAAAAAAAAAACCCAAACAAAACAAACACCTAAACATTAAGGAAAAGGTGAGGAATTGTGCCTATATTGGCCATCATGCTTGGAAGAGAGAAATATCAGAAATCACCATAGAATTAAAATTAAAAGTTAGTTTTCAGTAAGCACCTGGCTAGAATTCATATGACTGGTGTGATAATGAACACCTCCCTGCCTTAGGGAAGACATAGACTTAATCTACATTTGTAGGGTACAGGGAAATTGTCAGGTATTTCTGCCCTCCTGCCATTGGTGTCTAAGACCCACACATGTGGGCTTATATATGTGCCTGATGATGGACACCTGAAGCAGAGTGTGGGCGTGTGTAAGTGGGTGATTACCCCCAAAGAGTTCAGAATCACCAATCCATGAGTGAGTGCATCTTGGGGGTGGATGTTGTGTGTGGCTTGCTGCGGAGACCACAGGTGGAGGCCAGGAACCCTGACTGCTCCTGGCATGTGACTGCAGATGCTGTGAGTGGTTCCCCCTCACATGAGCAGTGCCTTTGGCAGCAGACTTGGTGGATCATCTGCTGGCACAAATAATTTTGCCTTTTTGCACCTAGGTTGGTCCCCTGTCTGGGCTTATTTGTATTCTGTTGTATATTGTTATATTCTGTTTATTTTTGTGGGTCATGTCTGCAGTATTCCTATTTGCCAAAGGAAACTTGTATATAGATTGTACAGCGAAAAACCCTGAGGGGTTGGCTCCAGAGATAGAATAATAGACAGAATCTTGGCATTATTGTGTTGCTGCTCTGCAGCATTTGAAGTACACAGCAACAAAGATGAGAATTGTCAGGATTTTCTGCCCTCCCGCCAATAGCACTAAGACCAGTGTGTAAGGGGTAGGACCACGAGGAGGAGGAGGAGTGGCCAAGTCCCATCACCTTCCGCAAACCCTTCCCTCATGCTGTGCCCCAAGGTGACCAGATTTTGAGGACTGAGCCCCGCAGCCTGAGGTTTCGGGGAATACCCAAAGGTCAGGTATCCTGAGAAAAGAGGCAGTCCAAAAGAAGGGAGAGGATGCCACCCGGGGGAACAAGGTCATCTCTGCCAGAGTCCCTGAGCTGGAGGACGCCCAGGAGCACACCACCACCTCCAGGCCTGGCCCCCTCCTGGAGGACGCCCAGGAGAAGAGCAGACCCTCGGCGCTAGGCCCTGTGCTGCAGGACGCCTGGGAAGACAACAGCACCAGTGTGGCAGGCCCCCAGCTGGAGGGGGACCAGGAATACAGGGCTAACACCATCAGTCCAGCTCCCAGGCCCTCCAGAACCACCCTAAGACCTCCCCCAAGACGTGGCTGGCACCGTACAAAAGCACTGGCCCATTCAGCAACAATCAGAGGGATTGAAAATGTCTCCAGAGATAGAATAATGGACAGAATCTTGGCATTGTGTTGCTGCTCTGCAGCATTCGAAGTGCACAGCAATAAAGATTAAGAATACCACCATACCTGGCAGAACCTCCCTGCCCAGTGCCCCCCCCCCAAAGCGCAACCACTCAGTGGCCATGGGGAACAGAAGCACACCAGGGAAAGTTGAGGCTCTGGAGAGGCTCAGGGGCTGGGCCCAGTCAGAGGGCCCAGGAGCAGCACGAGACGCACAGGACTGCAGCACAGAAGTCTGGGCAGCACCGATGTCCCTGGAGCACAGATGTCCCTGGAGCAGAGCAGGTGAAGGGCCAGGAGGGCAATGGAACTGGTGAAGCACCTGGAGGGGAGCAGAGCTGGTGAAGGGGGGGCGGGCTATGGAGGGGTTGGGGAGAGCTGAGCAGGTACAGGGCCTGGGGAGGGGCGTGGGCTGTGTGGGCGGAGCCACCAGAGACCCCGGGGCCAGAGGCGGGGAACCCTGGGCCTCTCTCCCCCTGGCCCTCTGTCCCCTGACGGCCACCCTGCCCCCTTGTTGGGAGAGCCCTGCTGCCGACCCCTGGGCACACGGATGGCACAGAGGCTGCAGGAGCTCTTCCATCTGAGCGGCATTTTCACGGACTGACAGCCACGGTAGCAAGCCCCCTGGATTTTGCCCCTTTTCAACACTGAAATTCCAAGTTGGAGAATTGCTCACCCGCCAGCTAGTGGCGGCTCCTGGGGCCTCCTGGTTTCCTTCTGAGCCCTGTAAAAGGTCTGCGCAGCCCACCCTGGAGGGATTTCGCTGGCAAAAGAGCATCCTAAACAGGTAATTCTGTGCTTGGGCTTTATTGGCTCTTCTCTTCCTCGCAGGTCCCGGATGGCGAGGGAGGCGGCTGCTGATGGACAGACTGGCTCCCCACTGCAGGGGGCACCTCCAGGGGACCTGCTCTGCCTGCGGGGCGCTGGGGCGTGGAGGCATCTCAGTGCTCTTTCTCTGCCTGCAGGAGACAGTCAGAAATGGGATTGTTCTGTTAACATGTCTATCCCATGAAACATTAAATCAGTGTTTGACATCGACTGCATTTGCTTCTCATGTATGAATGCACCCACACTTCCAACACATGGGTCATCAGAGAGCTGGATTCGCTTGAAAATTTTAGAAAGCATTTAGAAAATTGAAGAAAAGTCTGATGGGCCGCATGGTGATACTACGGTGACATGAGATAATGAAACAGTCCTACTAAGGAGTATGTCATTGGGTATTTGCACTATTTTCTTTAGGCTTATGTACACATCTTGCACTTTGTGCAAGTGTGTGCAAGGGAGTCCATACGTGTGTGTGCAAGGGAGTCCATACGTGTGTGTGCAAGTGTGCGGTTCTATAGGTAGGAAGTGTTTGTGTACCTTCTACCCTCAAAAAGACACACAGAGAACTATAGAGAATTGGTATCATGGCTTCAAAAGTGGGTCCTCCCTGGTGGCGCAAGGGGTTCAGTACAGCACTGTGAAGCTATGGGCAGCCTCTGCAGCACCAGTTCAATCCCCAGGCAGCCAGGGAGCTACTCACATGAGGCAGCAGACCTCTCCTGTCTCCCTGCTTCTGCCCTCAGCAATGGATTTCATTACATCTGCCTGTTCTGATCCCCAAATGTCTCTGGTGAATCCTCTCAGCCCCTGCACCTCTGGCCCGCACCCAGTACTCGTATACACAAATAAATAAAAATAAATCTAAAAAACCCTACACAATTCATTTGTGAATTCGTCTGGATCCAGGGTTTTGTTTTTGGGGAGTGCTTTTATTACTACCTCAATTTCACCACATGTAATTGGTCTGTTTAGGTGTTCTATTTCTTCTTTGTCCAGTTTTGGATGATTATATCATTCTAGGAATTTGTCCATCTCTTCTAAGTTGTTGAATTTGTTTCCATATAAGTAATCTCTGATTATTCTATTTCCATAGTAATCTCTGATTATTCTTTTGATTTCCACTGAGTCTGTTGTGATTTCTCCTTTCATTATAATCCTATATATGTGTTTTCTCCCATTTTTCTTTGTGAGGCTGGCTAGAGGTCTGTCTATTTTATTTTTTCAAAGAACCAACATTTCGTTTCATTGAGCTTTTGGATTTTTTTTTAAACTTCCATTTCGTTTATTTCTGCTTTGATTTTTATTATTTCCTTTTTTCTACTAGCTTTGGGGTTTTTTTGTTCTTTTTCTAGCTCTTTGAGATGTGCAATTAGGTTGTTTCTCTGAGTTTTTTCTTGATGTGAGTCTGTACTGCTTTATATTTCCTCTTATTACTGCTTTTGCTGCATCCCGTACATTCTGGAAAGTGGTGTCCTTGTCATTCAGCTCAAAGTATTTTTTTAATTTCTTGCTTGATCTCCCAGTTGTCCAGTGGTCTTCCAGTAGTGTGGTTTTCAATCTCCATGAAGTGGGAGGGCTCCTGTTTTCTATCCATGATTTATTTCTAGTTTGATGCCTTTATGTTTGGAGAAGATAG